CACTTTCTAGAAGGTCTGAACTATAGAGGCTCATGCCTAGAATCCTACTACTACTCAGTAAATGAGGCAGGATTGACAGTTCAAGACCAGCCTGGACTACAAAGTGAATTCCAGCCCAGCCGAGGCAGCTGAGACAGTCTTCAAAACCAAACCCAAAAACAAAGGTCTGAATTATATAGTATTAATTACAAAGTTTCTTTCCATTTTCTTTCTAGTACTGGAGATAGAATGAAGGGCCTCCAACACAGACTCTGCCACTGAGCTATCTCCCCGGCTTTCTTGTTTTCTGTAACAAATGACTGGATTTTATGTTAATGCAATGGTTAACTTTAATGAGTACCAGAATCACCTGGATGTTGTAAGCGCAAAGACTGCTTGGCCCAACCCTAGAGTTTCACATTCCTAGGTCTGGAGCGGAGGCTGGGGTTTTGTGCCTCCCTGGGTTCCTAGCTAATAATGCTTCTAGTCCATCACTGTCTTACCTCAATCCAGCTGCAGTCATTTAGAAGCAGTAATGCAGTAGTATATTCACATCTGCATTGGGTATGGGACAATCCTCTAGACAATTGTTTCAGCAATGCTTTAAAGATTACTTTTTACTAATTTTAATTATGTGTATGTGTGAGGGCAGATGCACATGAGTTCAGGTACCCAAGGAGGCCACACAGGCATCAGCCCCTGGGAGCAGGATTACAGGCAGCAGTGAGCACCAAAGTGGCTGTTGGGAATTGAACTCTGGTCCTTTGCAAGAGCAATGTGTGTGTGTGTGTGTGTGTGTGTGTGTGTGTGTGTGTCACCGATAAACAATTTCTCCAGCATTTCAGCAATGCCTTAATTCTCCCTCATTATACAACCAGAGTAAAGACCCACTCCCCTATTGAGCTTACTTAAGCTAATATTTGGTTTTTGGGTTTTTTTTTACCCAATTTACCTATAAAACCATCTTACCCATTATCAATTGTAATATCAACTGCAGTAAAAGAAACAAAAATTTAAAAACATGACCAAAAGAGCTAGCTCAGTGGTAGAGCTTGTCTAGCACTCAGGGCTCTGGGCTCAATCTCCAGTATGGGGTGAGGGGGTGGAAAAGACGCCCAAATTGAAAGTAATTTAAAAGTAACAAGCATTTTGAAGATCTAGTTTTGAATTTTTAATTTCTGTGGAGTAGTATTTTACCACTACCTAGAAAATAACCAAACTTTTTTAACTTTTCCTAGGGGAATGTTAAGACTTTTATTGTACCAAAATGCTATAGAAATCAAAGAAAATTACCTAGATTTCAAAGAACTGAGGATGTTTAGACCTTCCTAAGTTCTACCAAGCTGCCATTTTATGCTGTGTGGCACACAGCTCCTAAGAAAAACATACTGTGAGCTTTCGTCATTCCTGCTCCAAAATGTCTTTTTTTAAAAATACATATGCAAGAAAATATTTCAGTGACTAATTTATTCAATGCTTACTATGAGCCAAGTCCTCTAACAACTAGTGCATTTAATCCTTTTATTCAATGAAACAAACCCTACCAGTAGATATGACCTTGGCTCACAAATGAAGAAACTAAGAGAGCGTTATTAAACTGACCAAGACAAGTCTAGTAAGCAGGTTCCATTATCAAGCATGGGCTTGTGGGGCCATTATCATACTATGCTGCATCTCAACAAATTCCTACTCCATTAAGAATAGTTTATACACATCATTTCCCTCAACCATCTCAAGCTAGGTTGGTCTGCATGTTACCAGAACATTCACAAGTTTCAAAGGATTTGCTCAAAGGGCTACATGTGTATCTTAAAAATGCCAGGATTGGGACAAACTTTGAATCTCATGTTTTTAGCTAGTACAATCATTCTTCCCTAAATCTAACCATTCATTTGATACTCCTATATTTTGAATTTGCATAGAATTGGAACATTCTCTGGCTGTGGTCTATTGGGAATATCTTTAGTCTTCAATACTTTAATATTAACTTATGATATTTTTGATATCCTTTATTTGTTCATATGAAAGTTTAAAAGAAAAAGCATCTGAATATTTTACATCCATACTATCTTCCCATTTCCAGAATGTTCTGCAAAAATTACAACTTTAATGTAGAATCTCAATGTAAGCATGGTGGTATAAGCTTATAATCCCAGCACCCAGGAGGCTGAGGAGATTGGTTACATACTGAGACCTTATTTCAGAAAACCGGCAATGAAAAAATTGAACTTCAAATGATAGTCTAACCCAAGATTCCAAGTTGCATTAATTTATTATTAAAAATTATTAATTTATTAAGAGACATTTTTGTATCTGTTACTGCTAAAATCATTGTTTATATGATGAAACTGTTACATTAAATAGAACACTGAAACGTTGTAGCAGGTTTCTCTCCGGGTCATTATGAACAATCCAACTCTTCTCAGCAAACCACTGCTGTGATGGCTTTTCATTGGCAGTGCTAGGAATCGAACCCAGAGCCTTGCACCTGATAGGCAGCACCTACTATACCCCATAATCCTGACTCCTACAGAAACACTCTGTGTGCCGTTTACTCTTGTTCTTAAGCCACCATCCACCCACCCAGTCTGGTGATCAATTTCCATCTACATATCCTAACTCTGCACATTTTAGTTTTCAGTAGCATCTACCTCATCTTATGGTTATTAATGATCTATCCAGGCTAAAACATAACATTATAATCTGTTTTAGCATAACTTTGGATATCTGAGTCCTTAAATATCAAGGGATATTTTAACTTTTTGTTCTACAGTAGTTAATTTAATTTAGAATGTTTAACCCAATTAATAGTTTATATTAACCCAACTCATTTCAAATACAGTTAACTATTTTAGAAATCTACTTTAGGTGCTAAAGATGTAGTTCATTGACAGGATGCTTGCTTCATAGACATGGGGCTCAGGGTTTGATCCCTGACACTTCAAAAAAGACAAATATACTTTGGAAAAGGGTACCTTAACTAAAAATAAAAAACTTAGATACAAAAGCAATGCCTAAACTCTTGAGATTTAGAGACTCATTAGCTTATTTGATTAATAACTCTAACAGGTGATAGAGAATTTGAATTTATCAAACTGCAAATTTTTTATTGAAATCGCTTATATAAATACAATTTTATGCAATGCCCAGTTTGCTGTTCTCTAAATATGAACTTGCTGGTCCATTTCTTAGCTACAAAAGAAGGGTCCAGCGCTAGTTAACACAAACTATTTTTTTTTTTTTTTTTTTTTTTTTTTTGGTATCTCTATATAGCCTTGACAGCCCTGGCTGTCCTGGAACTCACTCTGCAAACCAGGCTGGCCTTGAACACAGAGATCCGCCTGCCTCTGCCTCCCATGCCTGGCCCACACTATTTTATACAGCAAGAACAGAGAAGAGAAGGCAGGGAAAATCTAAACTGATTTAGAATTGAGGAAAGCAAGCTTTATCATCCCATCCTGGACCTAAGGATTTGGGAGAGGATCCTGAATAATGCAGTATAAGTAAAGGGGAAAAAAAAAATCTCCCAGAAAATAGCCTGTGAAAACCTCACCAGAGAAAATCCAAACTATTATAAAACTAAATAGCCCAGCTGATAAAAGTCCTTTTTACATATATAATTAAAAGCTGCAGCAGAAGTGGAAATCCAAAGCCAGACTGTTCTCCTAATGCCTCGTCATTTATTGGTAATTATTATCCACAGCTCTATAAACATTCTAGGTGACCATCACTCGTGCAGGTACATTTGCCATGACAGCTCCACTTGGAGCTAATTCATTTTGTAACAAGAATTCAGGTTCCAAAAATTCAGTTGTGTCACTGAGAAAAAAAATTAAAAGCTCAAAACCAAAATGAGAACTGCTATTAAAGTGCACTTCCTTCGGTGAATTCAGAACAAACAGCTGTTGGCTTCAAACATAGGAAATATGCTGATTTGCTAATATGTGATTACTGGAAAGAAGTCTCTTCCTGGAGATAAGAATTGAAGTTCTCTCCTCCCTGTAATTTCATTTTGTTTTTATTACAGTAGAAACAGCACCAGTTAATTGTCTTGAAATGGCTTTGCCACTTTCTCCATCATTTTCTAGGATCTTAATTCCTATCTGGAGCACTGTACCACTGTTTCCTACAATCAGAGCTAGAAAGCTATGGAAATAGTGTTCAGCTGATAAGCAAAAAAATTAAAGCTCAGAGCACATATCAAAAGGTATCTTACATATTCATTCCACAGAGCATCAGGTGATATTAAAGCTTTCATCCCTCCCAATATGCTACAAAAATATATGAAAAAAAAATCTGTTTCCAGCCAGCAAATAGTAATAAAACAAGTATCTTTTAACTTGTATCATGTTAACTTTTAACAAGTATCTCTTATTTTAGAGACTATGTATTACAATAACTCCCTCTGACCAAATTTTCACCACCACTTTCTCCATTAATCCATTCATGTATCCAAGCATATGCATTTAGTCAACATGCTCATATTTACTATATTAGGGAGTCATTTTTAGGTTCAAGTGACAGTTTTCACAATGAACTATTTCTACAATAGCTCTAAGGCCCAAAAAAGTTGTTTAGACCTGTGTAAACAGATGCATAGCTATTTCTAAAGATCACACACCCAAACATGCTTGTCGGGAAAACAAATCCATGCACTTGAATATACCACAAACATTTTTACTGATGCTGGACCAAATAAATTAAACATTGTCTAGAATTAAAGAGATAGCATTAGAATTGGTTCCAGAAAAACATTAAAAATCATCTGGCCAAAACCTCAGAAAAGAAAATACTTCCTTCTTATCCCAGTGTGTTCAATTTAATTGTGTGTGCGCGCGCGCGCGCGCGCGCGCGCGTGTGCGTGCATGTGTGTGTGTGTGTGTGTGTGTGTGTGTGTGTGTGTGTGTACAATAATCTACCTTAACATTTCCATTCATTAGCATTTTTTTGTTTACAACTGCTTTGCAATTTCTTGGCAAAGGCTCCCCCAAAAGAGATACAAGCACAATACATTAGGCATATACACTCTTCAAAGTTTTATTTCACTAACTTCAGGTCAAATATTTCCACAAAATTGTTTTCTGGTCAATTACTAGCCTTTTTTTTTTGGCTTCCCAAAACGGCAGTACCAAAAGATTTGTGGGTCAGGGAGAAGAGACCCCTGCATTTACTCATCTTCCACAAGGCAACAGAGTTGGGTATCTGACTGTTCAACAAAACAAAGCTTTAACAGCATCCAGGAGGGCAGACAGGCAAACCAGGCCGTAGACACTCAACTTGTCAAAGTCAGCCCAAGGAACACTGATTCCACACCCACATAAAAGATGCCATTCATCTCTTCTTTTTCTGTTGCCGCAACATTTTTCTTCTTTTAATTATCATATCATGTAGTTTCTCAAGTCCTTCCTTTAGTCCATCTCCTATGATTGCACAGGTGGGCTGCAAATGCCAAGGAGTCGATGAGCTCAGTTCACCCATTGCTAACAATTTCTCAATTTCTGAGAGTGACAGTGAGTTCCTCAGATCTTGTTTGTTAGCCACTATAAGCACAGGAACCCCTTGGTTTTCTGATATCCTAGTTATTTTATGAAGTTCCGTCTTGGCCTCTTCCATTCTCTCCACATCGACCGAGTCCACCACAAACACAATGCCATCTGTGCACCGGGTATACGACTTCCACAGTGGCCTTAACTTCTCTTGACCACCTACATCCCAGAAGTGAAAAGTGACTGTTTTGGAATTGCCCAAGGTTACCTTAATTTTCTCCGTGTTAAATCCTTTGGTAGGCACGGTATTTACAAACTCGTTGAACTGCAGCCTGTATAAAACGGTCGTCTTCCCAGCGCAGTCCAAACCCAGAATGACAATATGGAAGGACTGGAAGGACGGCAGGCTGGACAGGATGGAAGTCTGGTCTGACAGTCCATTCCCCATTTCCAGCTGCGAATGGTGTCCCAAACCCACGCCTTCTTCTTATCTGCTTACAGTGTCTCTTCCTGGGTGATCGCGCTGGGAGATTGCTGGGGGAGGAAACGAGTATGTTATTACTGTGAGCACACTAAAATGGGTTTTTCTCTACTTTCTCTAAAAACAGGCACCGCGAGGAACTTCATAAAACTTGCTGTAACACAACACACCAGATGAGCCTGGGAATGCACGAAATCCAAAACAAACGATGAATAATGATCACCAAAAGGCTCCCATTCACCCTTACTGGCAGTTACGTGTACTCGTCTCTACTCTCCCCGAACCTCAAAAGCGTATTCTGAAGACAACCCAAGCCCCCAGTATCTGGTGCACGTCACCGTATCCACCGGAGTGCCTTTTCTTGGCAGAAAACAAGAAAACAAAAACAAAAAAACAAAAAAAAGGCAACCCTATCGGGGAGATCTAAGCCGGCATGTCTCACCGCGTAGCCGGGATCACTTTCCGGGCCCCCCTCCCCGGTACCACCGCTCTCACCTCCCGGGCTGGAGTCCGGATCCCAACGGGGAAACATGGGCCGGTGCTGCTCTCGGCGCGGGGAACGGGCCGCGGCTCGGTCCGCCCAGACCTCGGCGCAGCTCTGGCGGCGGCGGCGGCGGCGGCCCCGGGAAGCCCAGACGCGGGCTCTGGCCCCGCCCACCCCCACGGCCCACCCCGGCCCCGCGATCCCATTGGCCAGCGCGTCGGGGCGGCCGCGCCACTCCCGCCCCGGCGCCCTAATTGGCGGGGGTGCCTGCCGCTCCCAGGGCGGCCGCGCCGGGCTCGCACTCGGCCCTCCGGCACCACCTGTTGCCCGAAGTGGGGAACGCGGCGTCTCGGAGGGAGCCGAGCCGGGCCGCCCGCCCGCCCGCCCGCCCCGCGCACCTGCAGCGACGCTGTCACAGCCGGGGGAGCCGCCGCCGCCGCCGCCGCCAACCGCGCCTGGGCTCGCCCACGGCGCAGGGGCTCGCCCGGCCGCGCCCTCCCGCCTCGGTACGCCGAGCGGCTCGGGCAGTGGCGCATCCCTCCCCTCCCCCAGGCCGTGACCCCGCGCCACTCACCTGGCTGACGGTCCTCCGTCGTCCCGCCCTCCGCGGCGGTCAGCCGCCGGGGAGTCCGTCCCCGGGCAGCGGCGAGGCCTGACGGCGGCCCGGCCGACGCCGCGCGCCGGCCCCGCTAACGGTGCTCGCCAGCCTCGCCACCGGCCGCGGCTCCGCCCCTCGCGCCGCGCCTGCCTGCCTGCTCGCCCGCTCGCCCGCCCGCCCGTGGGGGGGGGGGGGGGAATCGCGCGCGCGCGCCGGCTAGCCGCGTCTCCTAGCAACGCCCAAACAAGGTCACGTTCCAACCCTCCCCGGCGCCCGCGGCCCGGCGGAGACGGGCGGGGCTCCGGCCGCCGCTTCTCGATCTTTCTGCCGCCGCAGGCTGGGTGCGAGCGGGCGGGCGGGCGGGCGGGCGGGCGTCGCCGGTATTGCCCTGGCACCCTCTGGACGGCGGCGGCGGCGGTGACTCAGGGTCCGGAGGGCTGGGGGACACTGGCCCCGCCGGCCCCTGACGTCACGGGGCGGCCTCCCCAGCCTGGGCCGGCTGGGATGGCAACCCCCGGCCTTTTGTAAGCCAGGCGTCCCCCCCCCCCCTGCGGGAGGCTAGCTGCGCCCCAGAACCGCTGGGAGCGGAACCGGTGCCCCTGCTACGGGGGGAGGAAATGCACTCTGAACCGCTGTTTCCAGCGGCCCAAGAAAAACGTGGTGGAGCTGCAGGCGATAAGCTGTCACTAGTGAAGAAGCGCGCTCTCCGTGAGACGTAGGATGTAATTGTGTCCCCCTCGGTGTCTGACAGTGGAAGGCAAACTGACCCTTTGCGAATATTCCGTTCTCTATGAGACAGAAGGAACCAAGTTGATCCGTGAGCCAGTTACAGAATGCGACCAGCAATCCTTTCAGAGTACTTACGACAACAAAGAAAAGGGGTATTAACGCCTGGTAGAGCCCATGGGAAATTTTTATTTGGAAACTATACTAATGGTGCATTTTTAAAATGTACTTTAAAATACGGTTTCTGGCCGGACCTGGTGACACGCCCTTAATCTCAGCACTTGGGAGGCAGAGGCAGGTGGATCTGGGTGCTTCAAGTCCAGCCTGGTCTACATAGAGTTCTAGGCCAGCCAAGGCTACATAGTGAGACCTCCTACTCAAAACAAACAAACAAAATAAAATTAATAAAAATATAGATTGTAACTTCCCTAAGAAATTTTCTAGTCTTCTCAAGACTACTGTTGCCGGCGGTATTTATTTTATGAATAACACAGAAAGACATGTTTCTGTTGAGTTGTTTGGTTTGGTTTTGGTTTTTCAAGGCAGGGTTTCTTTGTGTAGCCTTGGATCTGGCTGGCCTCAAATGCAGAAATTTACCTGCCTCTTCTCCTGAGTGCTGGGGTTAAAGGAGTGTGCCACCACTGCCTTATTTCTGGTTTTTTGTTTGTTTGTTTTGTTTTGGGGGGGTTGTTTTGTTTTGTTTCGTTTTTAGTAGCTTATATAAAATCTAAGGAATAAGCTCAGTGCTTAGTTTTAATATAGCATCACTAATTTTGGAAGAAAAAGCTAGAAATCTCACATGACATTCCATCAAGTTACTGAATGTAATCTGAGCTAAAGATCATTATAAGTATGGGATCTCGTTAGCCATTTACAGTCATTACCCTAAAAGTGAGAAAAGCTTTAGTGCAATAATTGCTCTCCTTGGGAATTTTAACAGGCATTCTTTAGTTCTTGCCAGATTTGCTCACAAATCTTCTTAATGTAAAGTAAAATCCCACCATTTACAATAGTTTTGAGATCAAGTGGGCCCTTCAAGTATTCCTTGCCCAGTGCCGTTTTTGCAGTCTTCGCAGCTAAACAGGTGAGGTCTGCAAACACTGACACTCCAGCCATGCAGAAATCACTCACTGAGCCACCTGCGCTTCACGGTTTGGCTCTGGACTGCAACAGCCATCAGCAGACTACAGCCTGTTAGTTGGATTTGAGAGATTAGGAGTTTTCATGTTTTTAGAGAGCCCCAACAGAAAGAAAGACTGCAATATAGACCATCTGTGCCCCTACAAAGCTTAAAATGTTTGCCCTGTACCTCTGTATAGAAAAATGTTTGCTATGCTTAATCTATAAGCAGTAATAATAGCCATATAAATGATTAAAAGCCACGATGCTTTTGAAACCCACTCTTCACTTTGCTGCACAGAGCCTGTTTAGGTATTTTATTTATCTGCTATCCCAGGAAGATGTTACCTTTGGGCTGTAGTTCAAAAACTGCCCTGCTATGCCCTGGGGTGCCTCGGGGAACACTTGGGGGTTCTGTGGGTGATTGTAGTTTTGAGGGCAATACTGACATCTGTTGGACTGTGTTTGTAACTACAGCTCTTAAGTTGTTGGATGCCTCTATCTAAATAAATGCCAGTTTGAAACTGTCCTGAGACACTGACAAGTTTAGGCAGACACTAGGGCCTGAGAACTATTATTAGTTACAGTTTTCCAGGTCCAGCTCAGTACCTCTCAAGTCAGAACCACTAGAAGAAGGACCAGGGACTGATGAACGTATTGCAAGTAAGTATTCTGGTCAGTTCATGACAAGCCATTTTGAGCAACTCTGGTTTTTAGCCACATCCCAGACCTCAGAGCAGTTCTGATATTTGTGGTACCCGGCTTCTCTTCCGTAACCCACCACATAATATTAAAAGTACATACCGAAAGTAGCATGTCTTTCCTAACCTTTGCCGTGTTTCTGCTCTTTTTGTTTAATGCATTTTTATTGGAATCTCCAAGTGGAAAGAACAGGTCAATGGATCTCTTAGAGGCACAAATGCATAATTACTGTGATTTTCAATAGGGTTTCTGACTTGTGAACTGGAAATAGCATCAAGCCCTATGCTTGTACAAATGAATAGAAAGAGAAATGTCATTTTTAGCTGGATATTAATAGAGCTCTTCACCACATGGGTTGTGTTGTATTTTAAAATTGACTGGAAGGGGTCACACCATACACCAGGGCTCACGTGGGAGGTTTAGTCCCTGGGGAGGAGAGCGAAGAAAGAGAAAGAGATGGGAGGTGGGCAAGGCCCGCCTTTTATAGAGAAACATAGCGACCGCGCACAGGGGTGCTCTTAGTGGCTGCAGCTGAGGATATATCCTGTCAGGACCCTAAGGGCAGGCCAGCACAGGTGCCTAAATGCTAACATTCCCACCTTTTGTTTATTATAAAAAGGTGAGGAGGCCAGGCGGTCATGGCGCACACCTTTAATCCTTGCAGGTTGGATCTCTGAGTTTGAGGCCAGCCTGGTCTACAGAGCGAGTTCCAGGGCAGGCTCCAAAGCTACACAGAGAAACCCTGTCTCAAACAACAAAACAAAACAAAGGCTAGGAGTTAGAAAGAGGGTAGCCGGTGAGGCGGGGATGGGGGTGCCATGTTCTCAAGAGTGCTTCCTGCTGACCTGGGTGGGCGTCAGTCATCCTTGCAGGACCTGAGAATGCTGGGGTGCTGTCTAGGCTCTGTGGAACTGTCTAGCGCTGCTTGGACCTGGCAAGATGCTGTTCGAGGTGGATCCAAGTCAACTCCCTGGAGCTCACAAGAACTTAAGTTTACAAAAAGAGTTAAGTTGTAGACACATTAGAAAGCAAAGGGAATTTAAAATCCTGAACTTGTAGCTATAATGCTATAGTGGTGGAGTGGAGTGTTTAGTACTCTGCCAGAGCTAGACTAGCTTATCAGAATTCATCAATTAATGTCAAGGTTGTGAACAGTAACACAGCGAGAGAGAGAACTCTGGAACATGTTTCATTCTTTCGTACATCTCAGATGACTTGCTCCTTATCAGCACTTAAGCTTCCCTATCTTCACATAAGCAAACCTTAAAGCACCTGGTCCTTTCCATCACCACAGCATCATCCTGACACCCTCTTTCTATCCCATTCACCAGGAGACGCAGGTGATTGATTACTGAGGGCAGTCAGTAGTAAAAAGTTACATTGAAATCTGTTCTGTGAGTTTATCTCTTTTCTTATCTCATAAAGAACAAAAAAATAGCCATTCCATGGGTGAAAACAGAACAGGTTTGTACCAAACTGGTAAGGCTGTCTTCTGAGAAGGCAAGGAAAAGTGATGGGAAAGATCACCAGGCCAAATAGGAACAGGAGGAAAGGGCTGTGAGCAGGACTGAGGGAGCAGAGAAGCCAGCACTGCCCTGGACAAGCCATGGGGGCCTCTGCCCAACTCTGGGAAAAGGACCCTCTTGGGGGACCAGAAACTCTATTATATATATAGTTTATCAAATATCTTATTTATCAATAATGTCGCCACTTATTTAAATTCTCTAGAAGCTTGGTGTAGAACACTTAGCAAAGACATGAGTGCTTAGGTGTAAATCTAAGTCAGCTTTTGTTAATCTGAATAGACCTTTATAACCTTACATTTTTATCACCATAAAGAGTACATTCTAAACCAGAGTTGAATCACATATAACTTTACATTTCTACCAACATACTAAAGTCCACTGCTTCCATCATGATGAGGTCACCATCCGAGATGGAGACGAGCCACGTGGTTGCTGCTTAAAATGTTTTTCTAAACAATAGTTACATGCACACACACACAG